GCGGCGAGAAGGCCCTGGCCTCAGCGGCCTCAGGACCGTGGCCTGCGGAGGGTCGCCGGCCGCCCAAAGGACAGTTCCACCTTCCTTTAGACTCCAGCCTTTTGCAAAATGAAGTTTTCTTTGACAGGGAAATCACTCCATTAGGCTTCCTTTCCGTAGCGCTGGGCCTGGCCCTGCCCTTCCGCCCCGGGGGCCTTGCTGGGCCCTGCTGGGGCCTGTAGGCTGAATAAACGTGAACTCAGGGACTTGGGGAGGCTGCGCTTCCTCTCTGAGGCAGGAGGGTGGCTGTGGACAGCGCTGGTGAAGCGCCGGGCGGGCAGGATGCTCGCTTTCAGGGGAAGGGACTAGACCAGTGACGGCGAACCTTTTGAGCTCGGCGGTCAGCATTTTGAAAAACCCTAACTTAACTCTGGTGCCGTGTCACATACAGACATTTTTTAATATTTGCCACCATAGTAAAACAAAGACATATTTTTGATATTTATTTTATATATTTAAATGCCATTTAACAAAGAAAAATCAACCAAAAAAATGAGTTCGTGTGTCACCTCTGACACACGTGTCCTAGGTTCACCATCACTGTCCTAGACGCACACCAACCTTGACTGTGCACCAGGATGTTTGTAGCGACTGCGTTAGTGAGGGGGAATGAGTGTGGTCTGGTTGCCGTGCCCGCCTGCATGTCAGTCCCTCGTAGACCCCGCGGGCTGGGAGTGAGCTCTGTGGAGGGCGCTGGGGCGCTGCCTGAGAACATCCGACTTGGGCAGATCAGCTCTCCTTTCCCTTCACATCCTCTGCCCGGAAGCGCATTGACCTCACAGGGCAGCGTGCAGTCGGAGGGGACCCGGAAGGTACTTGAGCCTGCTCTAAGATGAATGCGCCCTTCCTCCGGGAAGCAGGGAGCGGGCCCACAGTGCGGAGGGCAGGCCTGCCCCAGACCAGCCGGGCGGAGCAAACACGAACGGATTCGGGGAGAGACAGCATCTTCATTCTCTAGCAGACACTGGGGGAAGAGCCTGGGTGGCTGCAGGTGGTGGGAAGCCACGCTTTCCTCCCGATGGAAAGAAAGTACAACATCTGGACCACGTGGAAAGACGTCTCGCACTCCCTCGCCGGTGACGCTCGGTCGGTTGGCCCGGACACGGAAGGGTGGTGGGTTTGATTCCTGGTCAGGGCACATACCCAGGTTGAGGGTTCGATCCCCGGTCCAGGCGCGTGCAGGAGGCAACCGATCCATGTTTTCCTCATATCTGTTTCTCTCCTTTCCTCTCTTTCAAATCAGTTTCTTTAAAAAAGAATGTCTCACATAAAGGGATGAGGGTCACATTCATCTGCAGTTAAAAGTGTTTTCCCGACCAGTGTGGCTCAGTGGTTGAGCATTGACCTATGAACCAGGAGGCCACAGTTCGGGTCCCAGTCAGGACACAAGGCGGGGTTGCAGGCTCGACCTCCAGTGAGGGGGGTGCAGGAGGTAGCCGATCAGTGATTCTCATCATTGATGTTTCTATCGCTCTCCCTCTCTGAAATCAATAAAAATATTTTTTTAAAATAAAGTCTGTTTCACTTTCAAGGGCTGCACTAGGAAATGACGTCAGGGTCATTTATCCCACCTGACGGGAGAGGTGGGTTAACGGCACTGTGTGAAGACATGGTATAATTTTGTTACATTTTATCCAGAATTTGTGATCAATATGTAATACTTCAATTTTTTATTTAAACACATTTTCAAAAACTCTCAAAAGTGAATAGCTTAGCCCTCCCTGGTTTGGCTCAGGATAGAGCATCGACCTGAGGACTGAAGGGTCCTGAGTTTGATTCTGGACAAGGGCACATGCCCAGGTTGCAGGCTCCTCCCCACCCGGGCCCTGTAAAGGCACGTGCAGGAGGCAACCAGTATATGTGTTTCAAATCGATGTTTCTCTCTGTCTTTTCCTCTCTCTTCCACTCTCTAAAATGAATGGAAAAATATCCTCGAGTGAGGATTAAAAACAAAATAGTGCATAGCTTAACGAGCCCCATGTACCAAACATCTAGTTTCAACAGTTACCAAGGAATTGCCACACTGCTGCTCCTGATGCCTCTCTGTTCTATCCACTGAGCCAAACCGGTTTCGGCTATCGCATTCTTTTTAAAAAATAAATATTTTCACAGCCGAAGGGAGAGGGAGATAGAAACATCAATGATGAGAATCATTGATCTGCTGCCTCCTACACAGCAACCCAGGCGTGTGCCCTGACTGGGAATCAGACTGTGACCTCCTGGTTCCTAGGTCAATGCTCAACCATTGAGCCACACTGGCTGGGCTGCATCCCATTCTTTAAACAGAGCAGTTAGTATATAACCATAAAGCCATTGCACACCCAAAACATGGAAACAGTACTGTGGTGTCTTCTAATAAGCAGACATATTCAAGTCTCATCATGTCTCAAAAATGTCTTATTTGTAATTGATTTGTTCAAATCAGGATCTAAAGAAAATCTACACGCTGCATTTTTTTTCATTATTTTTTTATTGATTTCAGAGAGGGAGAGGGTGAGAGAGAGAGACACCATTGATGAGAGAGAATCATCGGTTGGTGCCTCCTGCACCAGGATTGAGCCCGCAACCCAAGCCTGTGCCCTGCCCAGGAATCCTGGTTCCTACACTCAACCGTTGGGCCACGCCGCTGGGTACACATTGCATGTTGCGGTCTCCTACGTGTAACGGACAGTAGTCCTCTTCCTCTTTTGTTGCATTACCATCTCACAGACAGAGCCACTCTCCCCTAGACCAGCCAACTCTGCATGTGCCACTGAGTCTCTTCCTCCAGCCCTTGCATTTCCGCCTTCAAACCGGAGGTTTTGGTTGGATTCGGATTCCGTTGGTGGGGTGAGATTCCTTGGCAGGTGCTGTGGTTCCCTGTGGCGCCCCCTGAGGAGGCCAGTGCTGCCCGCTCTGAGCAGAGCAGAGAGGAGCGCGGGCTGGGGTCCCCACGGCCATGCCCCGCCCTCCTTGTGGGGATCCTCCCTCACCTTCCCGCTGACAGTCTCTCCATCGATGAGTTTTGCCTGAACCAGTTCTTTCATGAGGGGCTGTGAAATCCTGGTTTTCCCATGGGCAGCGTGGAGGAGGGATGCACCGACATGAGGCGTGAGTATGACCGGTGCTTTCATCGCTGGTTTGCCGAGAAGTTCCTCAAGGGGGAAGCTCCGGGGACCGTGCACGCACTTCCTCAAGCGCTACCAGCAGTGCATTCAGAAAGCAGAAAAGGAGAAGGCGATTCCCACTGAAGGACTGGAGTTCATTGGCCATGGCAGAGACAAGCCTGAAAGCTCTTCTTGACCTTGACAGTCACCTTGAAAATTGACTCCTCAGATCTGGAAATGTGAGCCCTCTGGATTTTGCCAATGAAGGCTGTGACGATAGCCATCAGTTTAATGAGGACTTATTTTCCTCCCGGATGTTTCCTCTCACTTTGCACCATCACTTCTTACTTTGGGACGCTTTCTCACCTGCTGTGACATCTTGCAGGAACTGGCTGTGCTAAAACTGAATGATTTCTTGGGATTATGGTTGCAATACTCCATCTGGGATCAGCTTTATGGATCTTGTATCTATAGACTGATAAACTTAACAGGATAAGGATGGTTGCCTGACCCCCTGAGTTATGCCTCTACGGATATTAGATGTACTGTATGGGGTCACTGTTCACGGGGGCAGCTGGTTAGGACCTCTCTCCTCTCGGGAAGCCAATGCTCTGAGAAGGATCCCAGCACGACTGTTTCAGTCACTGCTTGGGAGCAGTTTTATTTTTTTATAGTAACTTCACTGTTAAGATGCTCAATGGTGGACTGGGTTAGCCAACAGGAAGCTTTTAACAGTTCCCGGCCTTAACAAGAGGTCTCAGACCTCAGATTAAGATGTGAAAGCCTCAAGAATGCTAGAGCGAACACCATTTCAGAGTTCACAGTTAGTTCAGTCATTAAGATCCCTGGAGTATACTGTGGAGGAAGATCCTAAACGGCAAAGGTTTGCTGCTGTGGCCAGCTTTCAGGCTCAGTCAATGAATTAAATCAACCTGTCTATCATGAAAATGCCAAAACGCTGTATCTGGTTAGGGGAGAAAGGCATTTGCTTTATTTGTGTTTACGCACCCTGCCCTGTAATATCTGTAATCATGAAGATGGAATAAATTGTAATATTTAGTTTCCAAAAAAAAAAAAAAGAAAGAAAAAGAAATGTTGCTTTCCCAATTCTGTGATTTCGTCCTCATTTGTTAGCTGGAATTCTTCAGTAAAGAGGCGCCTCCCTCCCCTCCTCACGGCTGGGGCTTACCCTGAGCAGGTTTGTGCAGGAGAGGCATACAAATGCTGACTGTCCCTTTATTTTTATTTTATTGATTTCAGAGAGGAAGGGAGAGAGAGAAACATCAGTGATGAGAACCACTGATCAGCTGCCTCCTGCACACCCCCTGGGGATTGAGCCCGCAAGCCGGGCATGTGCCTGACCGGGAGTGGAACCGTGACCTCCTGTTCATAGGTCGGCGCTCAGCCACGGAGCCGCCGGCGGACTGAGTGTCCCCCTTGAATTGCCAGCTCTCAGAGTGAACCTGTGATAAGTGCCCCGGCCAGTAAGCCGCATTGTTACCAAACAGGAGACACTTGGAGGGAACCGCAGGCCTGCAGGAGGGGCAGGGATGGAAGGGAGGAACAGCGGAGAGACTTGGTCTTAGGCAATCAGCCTAGATTTAGGAAGAACAGATTTCAAAGTGCTGAAGAAAAGACCTCGACAGAAGCTGTTTGCCCTGTCTGTGCACCTGCACCGGAAGGTTCTGTCACCAGCCAGCTGACGTTTGCATGAGCCCTAACAAAGCCTGTGAGCTTTTGTATGTCGAGTGCTCTCCTTTCGATAACTGGGTCTCCATTTGGTATTTCATTGTATAACTCATTTGCAGACGGAATTCATTTTTAGTGCCAGTCCCTGCCATATCATGAAAAGTTAATTTTCTTTGCATTTAAAAATATGACCATGAAGAAAACACGGTGAAAATAAATTTTAAACTGAATTTTTTTAAAAAGGGGGTTACCAGTTTAATTCTTCGTCAGGGTGACCTGTCTCTCTCTCTCTCTCTCTCTCTCTCTCTGTCTACCTTCCTCTAAGCCAGTGGTTCTCAGCCTCAGCTGCACATTGGAATCACCTGGGAATCTTTAAAATCCTGATTTCTGGGCCACATCCTCCGGAAATTGTGTTT